ATTTTATTTTATTTTATTTTGTTTATTTTGAGATGGAGTCTCACTCGCTCTGTCGCCCAGGCTAGAGTGTGGTGCTGCAGTCTCGGCTCACTGCAACCTCCATCTCCCAGGTTCAAATAATTCTCCTGCCTCAGCCTCCTGAGTAGCTGAGATTACAGGCATCTGCCACCGTGCCCAGCTAATTTTTGTATTTTTAGTAGACACGGGGTTTTACCATGTTGGCCAGGCTGGTATGGAACTCCTGACCTCAGGTGATCCGCCCCCCTTGGTCTCTCAAAGAGCTGGGGTTATAGGAGTGAGCCACCACCCCCGGCCCACAGATTTTAGTTGTGATCATTTTTAGTCAGCATCATTACATTTCACATGGTTAATTTTTTAAAACAATGTTTTAAATGTAATACACCAACTACCCAGCACTTTGGGAGGCCGAGGCAGGTGTGTTACAAGGTCAGGAGATCGAGAACATCCTGGCTAACATGGTGAAACCCTGTCTCTACTAAAAATACAAAAAATTACCCGGGCATGGTGGCAGGCACCTGTAGTCCCAGCTACTTGGGAGACTGAGGCAGGAGAATGGCGTGAACCTGGGAGGCGGAGCTTGCAGTGAGCCGAAATCACACCACTGTACTCCAGCCAGGGCGACAGAGCGAGACTCCTTCTCAAAAAGAAAAAAAAAAAAAAAAGTAATACACCAACTATTTTTCTTTTAATGTAATGATCCTCCCATTTTTCTCCATCACTTTGGTCTAAGTTTATTTCCAAGTTTAAGTCCACCCACATAGTAGTCACTATGGCCAACAATCTGATTCAGTATGAACATTTAAAAGCTTTCAAATCTGTGCTAATAGAGATAGGAACAAAATTAACAACCGCTTTTTTGTAGTCCAAGTCCTGTGTGCAATTTTAATTATACACATGCATCTGTGCAGACACTAATTAACTAAAGATGAGCTTTTCAAGGAATTTTCATCCAATCACATCTTGTTGACATCTATCCCTTTTAAAATATAATTTCTATGTAGTAGAGAGACACAATTCCTTTAAAGTTAACTATATAATGCTAGTATTAACATACACTTACACTGAAAAATTCACTGGTGGGAGCGTTGATCCTGCTTTGTGGAAGCCTTTACTCTGTTCTGGGTACATATATGGATTATCCCCTGGAGTTAACTTTGGGATTCCATTCCTGGGATCAATATCTGTGGAGAAGGTTTGAAAACAAAATCATACAAGGGCTGAAGATGATCCACAGATTTGCTGTAAGTATTGGCATGACAATGGAAATAGGATATTTTAGTAATTTATTATAAATTACATAGAAGTTTCTCAAAGTTCTGTTTGTGATTATCTTGCCTTAAGGAGATGAGCCTATGTTTGGGACATTTTCCAAAAAGTGTTGTTATAACTACCTCACCCTGGAAAAGAATTGTTAGACTCAGATGGAGTGCTTTGGTTTAAAATATAAGGTGAATCAGAGGTCTCTTTGCAATGATCCAAAAATCTGTGACCTAATAATCTCTTGATTCCTGAGCATTAGTGCACTTTGAATCCCTGAGTCTTAGGAAGCCCAAGAAACAAATGTCCCTGGGGCTCTGCCTCTCTGACTGGGTCTGGGAAGGAAACCAACTAAGGATGTCTTGCTCCTTCTGCCTCAAGGACTGGGGCCATGCAGCAGTGGGAGGTGGCTTCCTGGAGAAGAGCAAGATTACTCGGCAGAGGCTTGTACACCCAGCTCAGCCCCTGCTAAAGCCCCGGGAACCAGAAACTAATTACGGGAGTGGAAGGCATCTGCCTAGTGCAGGGTGATCATTTAAACCCACATACCTAAAGTCCTTAAAATGGCCTATAAAAAACTTAAAATTAAAAATAAAATAAATAAATCAACCCACACACTTGACACCAGATGCATCTCCTAAGAGAACAAGCCTGGACTACGAGACTCACCACCCTTGGGCTTGGAAGCAGGGACACGAGGCTGGAAGCATGACCTCCATGTTTGCCACACACCCAGATTCTTCTAGCTAACTCGGAAAAGCCATCAGCGTGACAGGTGGGAGTTCTTGGGTTAGCGTAGTATTTAATTTTTTATCTTTCTCTTTCAAAAACCTTTTCAATAACTGACTGTATTACACTTTTGATTAGCTCTTCTGTGTAGTGAAACACACCCATGCAGCTACACCCATGCATCGAGTTCCTGCTGGGTATGAGATGCTGAGGATTCAAAGCAGAGAGAGTGGAGGTTTAAAATATATACTGAATCCCCTTGAGGCCGGGAGTTCTAGACCAGCCTGACCAACACAGTGAAACTCTGTCTCTACTAAAAATACAAAAATTAGCTGGGTGTGGTGGCACACGCCTGTAATCCCAGTTACTCGGGAGGCTGAGGCAGGAGAATCGCTTAAACCTGGGAAACGGAGGTTGCAGTAAGCCAAGATCATGCCACATGCCTCCAGCCTGGGAAACAGAATGAGACTGTGTCTCAAAATTTTAATTAATTAGTTAATTAAATATACAGTAAATCCAAAACCTTTTGAATCCCAAACCAGGGCACTGACAAGTAAGAGTCAGGTGTTAACAAGAGGTGGTGGGAAGGATTTGGACTTTGGAGTCAGTCGCACCTGAGTTCATACTCACCCCTGTAATTTCTGGTTTTGTGCCCTTGAGCTATTTATTTAACCTTCCTAAGCCTTTGTAACCTCATGTATAAACTGTTTATTTCAAATGGCTACTTTGCAGAGTTATCATGAATACTAAATAATAATGATATGAGCACATAACAAGCACTCAAGAAATAGTAGCAATTATTATTATTTGAAATCACAACTGGACTAATACCCCTCATCCCAATTATTTTTTAATCTGGAAGGTATGATTACTATATAGCTAAGGTATATACTTCTCCCCAGGGAATCTTATCTAGATGGGGAGACATTCGTAAAGACGAAGGTAACACTACAAGGCAGTAAATGCCATATACTACAGAAGAGTGGTTCCAAAATTTTAGCACACCTGAAAATCACCTAGGAAACTTGTTTAAAATGCAACCTTTAACCCCAGAAATTCTGTTTCAGAAGATCTCTAGTAGCTCCCAGAACCAGCATTTTTAATAAACTCACAAGTTGAATATGATATAGGTGGTCTAAGGAGAACACCTAGAAATAGACTATGGTGGCCAGGCACAGTGGCTTACGCTTGTAATCCCAGCACTTTGGGTGGGCCGAGGTGGGTGGATCACCTGACATCAGGAGTTTGAGACCAGCCTGATCAACATGGTGAAACCCCATCTCCACTAAAAATACAAAATTAACTGGGCACGGTGGCACATGCCTGTAATCGCAGCCACTCAGGAGGCTGAGGCAGGAGAATCACTTGAACCTGGGAGGCAGAGGTTGCAGTGAGCTGAGATTGCACCATTGCACTCCAGCCTGGACAACAAGAGTGAAACTCTGTCTCAAAAAAAAAAAAAAAAAAAAAGACTATCATAAAAGATATCACAAGATAACATCAGGAGGAAGAAAAAGAGCCAATGGTGTGGTATCTGCATAAGGTGTTACTTTTAGGGGGAAAATCTCCCAAGCAACACTTCTGAGATAACACATTTGTTTAAGCCATTAGGTACCATATGGGGCCTTGGTATAATTTCTGGATAGCTCACCAAGACAGGTGTCAGCCCAAAGTGCTGGCCACTATGCATCAATAGCTGATGGACCCATAACACCGCACGATCAGTTCTAATGCTTGTTTGTTTTTATACAGACCATCCAATTTCCTGGATGTAAAGACATTCAGGAGGTAGAAAATGGGACACATAGACTTAGAGACAAATAACCATACGAGGGAGTGAACTGTTCACCAAATAACTTAGTCTGCCCCACATGTCAGTGCCCCAATGCACTTAGGTAGAGCCATGTTCTGACTGATAGATTATGAGCAGAGATGATATGTACCACCTTTAAAAAGAAGCATTTAAGGAGCTGAAGTGAAAAACCTTCCAGCATTTTCTCTTTCCCCTTCTATGGCAATCTTAGAAGCCACAGGTTGAGATGGAAAGGTCACAGATAAAAGCAGACAGGATCCTTGGAAAGGAACTGCCCTGGAGAGCTGCTGGATCCACAGTGGACTTTATAAGAGAAAGGAGCAAACTTTAGTGCTTAAGCTGCTGAAATTTCAGGGATTGTTACTGCGGCAGAATCTATCCTATTCTGACTAATACAATATGCGATACTGTAGGAAGAGCTACACAATAGAAAATTATATTTTCAGACCTATTTCCCTACCACCTACAATCATAGATGGCATTTTGTTCTATGGCAACAACTAGGCCTTTAGGGAACTCTGCCAATATCCTGGTTATGGCTGATGGATCACATTCAACCATTATTTAAAGATATTTTGATTGATTTTTTTACATAATAATGAGTTGCATTCCAGTTTAAAATGGCAGCTGGTTGGCAGTCCCTAAGCCTGCCTCTTCATCTCATCCAAGAAATAATGAGTGGCAGCCGGGAGTGGTGGCTCACACCTGTAATCCCAGCACTTTGGGAGGCCAAGGCAGGTGTTTGAGGTCAGGAGTTTGAGACCAGCCTGGCCAACACGGTGAAACCCCATCTCTAGTGAAATACAAAAATGAGCTGGCTGTGGTTGCACATGCCTGTAATCACAGCTACTCCAGGAGGCTGAGACATGAGAATTGCTTGAACCCAGGGGGCAGAGGTTGCAGTGAGCCGAGGTCATGCTAGTGCACTCTAGCCTGGGTGACACAGTGAGACTCTGTGTCAAAAAA